ATGTTAGACCTTCATCCAAATCCACAGAGCCTGTGAGAGGTGAAGCCCCTCTGACGCAGGCACGCTGCCCCCAAGGCCTGCTCCCACCCCGCCCCGGCCTCACCCAGCCGGCCCCACGGGGCTTTGTAAAGAAGCTCCCGTTCCCCTCGATTTGCTGATGGTGGTTTCCTGTGTGACCTACACTTCCCGTCAGGTGACCAGAGATGTGAGCAACCGGAAGTCTCAGCAGCCACACATCCAGGGCTTCAGCGGTGACGTACGTGTGTGGACACCAGTCCCAGTGCTGTCGCCGTTCTGGCCTGTAACTGACTTAAGGAACATCACTCCATCAGGAGGCTGCTGGTGGCTGTGGGGATCCATCTGATTCACCACCACCTGGGTGCTGTCCAGTAGCCCAGGCTGGTCACAGATCAATGGCAGGCAGAGTCCCCAACCAAGAATCTACACCCCACAGCGTTTCAAACATCATGCTCTAGAGGTTTGTCTGAGGTTTTAAAAGTAGTGTAAGAGGCATTAGCCATGCCTCCCTGGAAAAAAGAAGTATGGCCAGCTATCCGACTCCTCTGTTTATACTCAAAGGACTTAAAATCAGTGTACTACAAGGACACAGCCACATCAATGTTCATAGCAGCTCAATTCACAATTGCTAAACTATGGAACCAGCCTAGGTGTCCTCAACAGATGGATGGACAAAGAAAATGTGTTATACACACAATGGAATATTACTCAGACCTAAAGAAGAAGGAAGTTATGGCATTTGCTAGTAAATGGATGGAACTGGGGACTGTCATGCTAAGTGAAGTAGGCCAATTCCCCAAAACCCAAGGCTGACTGTTCTGTCTGACATGTGGACGCTGRCTCACAGTAAGGGTGGGGGAGGGACAAAGGGGAATGAAGGGAAGGGAGGGGATGGGAATGGGAAAGACGGTGGGATGAATCAGACGTCACTTTCCCATGTTCATATGAGACGACTGACCAGGGTGACCCACATCACGTTCTGCAAGACTGGGTAGTCCCACCCCACGTACGCAGCGTATGTCAGAACACACTCGACTGTCATGTGTCTCTAAAAAGAACAAATCAGGACATTAAAAAGCAGCAGCAGCCTGGCGGCCTGGMATTCCCTCCTGTCTTTAACAGGCTGGTCATTGCTGGTCATTGCTGGAGCGGCCACATGGGCCAGGGTCCAAGTCGGCTCTGCTCTGTTCGCAACATGTATGGAAGGGCACTCCACTGGACGCCAGTGTGCACCGTGGCACGTGAGGCACGCTGACTACCACGCCACTGACGTACACGGCCGCCACGGCACGCCACGGCATGCCACGGCACCGCGGACATGCAGTTCCACTTTGCCTTTGTGGCCGTGGAGGCCTGGGGAGCAGGGGCCAGCAGGGGTCCCTATTGCCTCTGGAGATCCTTGTGGAGGACAGGCCCATTGATGCTATGGCTGAGCCAGTGACGTTCCCCTGAAAGCCACCCGCCCTGACTCCCTGCCTCCTGAACACTCACCACCCTAAGGCAGCCTCGCACCCACGAAAGGTCAGCTGGCAGCTCTGTCGTCCCCTGTGGCCCGCCTGGCCTGCCACCACACAGACGGTCTCCTCAAAGGTSGCTCTGAGAAGCCGTGAAGAACGGCGAAGCAGGCCTCACCCACGCTGGCCTGGCCAGTCTCTGGACCAGACTWTGGACATCAGCAGTGACACAGGTGAAGAGCACAGACAGGTGCCTGGCGCTCCTGGGCGGCCCTGTGTGAAGGTGCAGGCCCACTCTCACCACGGCCTGACCACACTCTGGGCAGGGCTTCTCCAGCGTTCCGAGTCAGGACCTGCACATACCTCAAGCAGCTCGGTGGCCATCTGCTGCCCACTGCTCCCCTGTGAACAGCAGTGAGCATGGTGGGGTAGGGAGATGGGACCATCTGGGGGCGTGGACAGGATTCAGGCTGTGCCCTGGGAGGAGGTGGGACTTGAGAGGGCCAGGCAAGGCCACAGGGAGTGGGAAGAGAGATTTTAAGCAAATTAAGCAAACGCTCTCAGGCCACGTCCTCAACTCTCCCTGACACACCAGACCAATGGTTCCAGGCCCTGCTCTATAAATAGCTGTCTGGTCCACTGTCCCAGGCCCTGCAAGGACCTTTCAGAAGAGCTGAGATGTGCCCTTCCAAATACCCAGGAGAGAGGTTGTTCTCAGATGACCCTAATCATCCCACTGACCACGTGGTGTGACCATTCCCCAAATCACCGTGTTGGTGTAGGGTTGTGTGACAGTGGAGGCACGGATGGTCCATTAACAACTGGAACACTAACAACTCAACGTCTCGTTGAGAAAACCAGGGGCCCAAACTGAGCTTCACACTGTCCCTCGTGGGTATGAGGATAGGATGGAATGAGGGGCAGCCCGAGGAAGATACCTGCCGTAACTACGGTAGTGAACCTAGCCCCGGCTCACAGGCCCTGGTCACCACCAGCCATGGGGTCGGTGAGGAGCGGTGCTGAGCACACAGCCCACCCCAGCTTGGGATCTGCAGTGTGGGCRTGCACGGCAGGAGGGTCTTCCACGCTGAACGTGGCCACCCTGATCCAGGGGTGGAGATGGACGGCGCTCTGTGATTCCACCTCTTCTCCCCCTGTCTCCCCTGCAACGTTCAATATGTCTGAGATTGTTTTTGGGAAACAAAACAAATCAATACGGCACTGCGCCGCTCACAGCCTGCAGACGGCACTTATGTGGCTCCGCTCTTCCCCCCGCTGACATCTCCAAGCCAGCCTGGCCCTGGCGAGGGCTCCGGCTGCCTTCCCCCGTTCCTCCACCCCCAACACTCCTAGAAATAAACAGGTAAGTCACCCGTGAGGCAAAGGCGATCTTCAGAGTCTGCTTTCCCCTATTGAACAGCAATGATCCCAGCGCACCAGCTCTGGACCTCAGAAGTCTGAGCGTCAGCAGAGAACCTTCCAGGGAACAACTCTAAGTGGATCGAGCTGCCACATCACTGAGATGGATGTAAAATGTCTGGGGCTCTGTGATCATAGCTACACAATTTCTCTTAAATGCCTTGAAGAAAAAAAATCCTTTCAATGGATGTGCTAAAGCCAAAGCTCACCTTGAATGCAAAGCAATGAATTTTTTATTTCATTAAGAAGATGCTGAAAAAGATGTTTTCAATCTCCTGGTGTTGGATTTCTTTAAGGAGATTTGTCCCAGAGTGGCCTTTCTCTGTGGGGTCAGCTTTTCTGTTGGAAAGCAGGCCGCTGGACCAGGACCCTGGTGGTCTCTGGAACCGGGTGGGGGAAGCTTTCTGGGATGTGGAAATGCTCTATGTCCTGACTGGGGCGGAGAGGCACAGACATTTGCCGACACACTCTCTGCCCAGTGCGCGTGTTGTTGTGCACGATTATATCTCTAGGGAAAAGAAGATCCGAGGCTTCAGGGACGCCATGGCGGGCAGCAGTGCTGGACTGTGTGTCCACCTGCGCTGTGATGTTGGAGACACGGAGCTGCTGCCGTGCGGAGCCTGGCATGGGGCGCGCACGGCACAGGGAGAGCGTGACGTGGGCTTGTGAGACACGCGGAGCACCGCTCCTGCCCTGCCCTGGCCCAGCATGGTGAGCTCTCAGGAGACACC